GGGGGGAGGGTGGAGTAAAGACCACCGGCTGATTAGCTTATATTATCATGCAAGTGAAGGGATACCGGGCCTCTCGCTTTAAGGAGGATTAAACATTATTACAACTTACCGAGTCTCAATGCAAGAAATTGATTCTTTCGTATGCTACCACAAGCTCAAAGGAATCTTACCTTCCGTTCCAGATCAAGAATTCGAGCTTTGATTGAGTTCAGCTATAAAGAATAACACTTCCTATATTAGTAAAGTTTGTGGTTGAGTATTTTACCTGAAAGTAATTCTAGTGGCCTTCATAAACGAGCAAGCTTATCTTGGTCCGGTTGGCACTATACATTTATCACGAGATGAATTCTTACTGGATGAGTTGCATATTTTCATCCTCCCAGTATATTTTAATGTATTGCGTGTTATGGCCTAGTGAGTGAGTCATTTTAATTAGCTAACATTAAAATTCAGCCTTACTCACCTCTGCTATATCACAGACTCCTGGAGGTCCTCTTTCACCCGAAGAACCTGGGTTCCCCTGGAAACGTCATCAGTAAAAAATAAGGAATAATAACAGTAGCGATGGTAAGTAAGATAAGCGAAAAAAAGTGCACATCATAGTTCATTGTCACGGAAAGTAACTGAAGTAAATCATATCCTATTCACCTTTTCTCCGTCTCTCCCATCCCTTCCATCCTTACCGTCTCTGCCATTCTTTCCGTCCGTTCCATTCAATCCATTATTCCCTGGGGGTCCAGGCGGACCCACAACGGTCAGGCCATCTCTACCGTCCTTGCCATCTCTTCCTGGTGTGCCGTCCTTGCAGTTGCATGGAAACGGAGGCAAGGTTGGGGGTGGTTCAGAAACACTATCGAGAGACTTAGAGAAACAAATCAGAGCACGTGTTTACCTAGGCTCTGCACTAAAGGTTAAAACAAATTTGAAAACTGGTCTTTTTCTCTCAGGTTGTTAAAACAACCAAGGCATTTAATCTCATGATTAGATATAGTGCATTTTGATACGTTGGATGGAGGAAGATCTATAAATAAGTTTCCTTCTGATACAAAAAAAATAAAGAAAATGAAGATATTTTTTCAAAACCTAAAAACCTGTTTGAATTTTTATCTCCATGATAGAAAATTCCATACAAAATCATTCTTGTTTGATATTCGTTGGTTTTGATATTTTTCATTTCAGAAAAAAAGAAGAAAAGTCGGCGAAGACGATGCGCGCTTGAAGTAGCTTATGTGAGAAAAAGCTCCTAAATTTGAAATTTTTCTGAATACTATGTTAAACATAACCAAAGTAATTTTCTGGTTTTCCGTTGTAGAGTAAATCAATATTCTTTCCCACTTTGAACAAACTTTTTGGCTGACTAAAATTCTCTTACCTCCGTAGACCTAGAGATTGTGAATAAAGAAGAACTAAAAAAAGCTACCAGAAGAACCTTAAACGATAGGGAAGGTGAAGACACCATCTTTATACTGTACTTGTGAGAAATAAAAGATGCTATTTGGTTTCTTTGAGTACTTGAAAAACGGTTATCATGGTGGACATTTTAATACTCAAGTCCTTTGATGTACACTTGTGTTTACTCAACTTCTCCCAAAGATGACAAAATGATTTGACTTTTAATTAGATCTCAACCGGAGTCATGTTAGCAGCACTTATTAAACGGAAGATAAACTAAACCGGTTTTTCTTTTTCGATCCATTTTCTGAACATCTTTTGTTTATTTCGTTAAAGTTATATTAAGCAATATCCTCTAATCCTGTCATGAAAAGCGGAACACATTAAGTATTTTATTACTGTTACTCAAATTTACTTCAGTTAGTTTTATTTAAATTATATTATAATTATATGCGTGGTTTTCATGTACGCAGTATTGGGAAATTTTGTATTTTAGCTCTTTGTACCTAAGGAAGGAAAACTAAGGGACTGTCTAAAAAAACCAAAAATTCTCATCACGTTTTGATTGGGTAAAAAAAATCCTGATGGCGATTTTTTAAATTTGATTCAAAGTATTATTAAAGAAAAGACATTTCAGTAGTTTAGCCGGAATGAATTAAAATAAAAATTACCAATTATTATCGATTACATCTCCTCTTGGAATAAAATTTTTCCTCTGCAATTAAGGGAAACCAATCGCAATCGCTCATGAAAACAAAATGAACAAAACGACAATTTTGGCTTCAATTCATGATATGTATCAGTAATATGCCACATCAATGTGCTATGCAGCCAACTTACTTTAAATTCAAATAATTACTTCATTGAAAAAAAAGCTTTGCATCAGCATCATAGAAAATCATTCGAGGTTCTATTTAAATTTGAATTGAATTGGTGAATCTTACTTCATATGTTATCTGACGAATTTCTAAGTGCTAGGACCAAAACAATGATGAAGCTGATTTCCTTAAAGATATTGATGATAAAATTCTTTTGTAAGGAGGGGAAGGAAGTAGGGTTAAGGTTAATCTCGACCAGTTGTTCTAGTTCCTCCAGGCTTTATGGATCAGCAAACTTGTCAGAGTTTAACATGTAAGTACGACGACCTTAAGTTCATTATTGTGGCTATCTATGATAGTGACAATTGAATCTGCGCTTCATAGCGAAGGAAATAAATAGGCTTGGCTTGACTTCAAGTCGGGCAAGAAAAATATGTGGTTGCGTTCTTTTCAGTTGAGTCTATGGACGAGTCTTCGGTTTCCTTCCATATATGTCATCTAGTCGGCTCAGAGCCCACTGGATCATTCTTTGCACGCGTGTGATTATTTTTTGCTGGATCTGTTATTTTGATGATAGTTTTTAGGAGAAAAGGATATTAAAAATAAATGAAGTCATTAAAGTTAAGTGCAGTCCCGGAGTGTTAAAACAGATCAAACACCTACGATGTTCGTGCGGCGGGCATTGTCAAAAGGCATAGAAAAGAGTAAGAACTGAACCCACATAATTTTGCAGCATATCATGGGTTCGCATCAGTTATATCGTTTTGAACTCTTTGCCAAAAAAAACCTTGGGCAAGCACATGCCTAAAGCGAATAGCTTAAGTAGTAAAAGCTTCATGGTATTAACCGTGTTTCAATTGTGCCTTTTTATTCTAATGTCATTCTAGTGTTATTCTATATGACCTATACGCACAGCTTTCAGGTTTAAGTCTTTAGGGGCTGTTTCTGAAAGAAAATGTTGTGTTAAATCGAACTGTAAATTGTTTGCCAGTCATTTACATATGAGTTCGGTGACCTCCGCTTTTATTTATTAGGATGTTAGCATAAAATCAAAGTTCTTCTTCTGAACATTCTATGATATCTTGATATACAATTTAGAGTCACTTTTAGTTGTCCAAACATCAAGGCCACCATGGACATAAGCGTTAAAGTATAGAAACATCGAGGAATCAGAGGTAACAAATAACGAAACCATTTAGAGCCTCCTTGAAATTTCTCTGTTGCTCGAGTAGTTAAGATCACCAACCGAATCGCAAGTGTTGACTCGTGATATCAATTAAACGAATAATCAACATGTTTGCAATTTGATATAGAAGTGTGTGAGCTCGCCAATCAAAGAATCCAGGGTACCAGTCGCAGCTTTCCAATCTGTTCTACTCCGAATAATCCCTTCTCCTTCCTGGATCCTTATTAGTTACTGTATTTTGTCTAACCAAAATAACATTTTCCGATCGCCTCCAAGTTGAAGATCATTTTTCACGCCACTAAAACGTTCAAGACACTGTGAAGCGTTTGGTACCCTTATTTGTCACTAGATCCATTTAAAAATCTGAAAAAAAAAAAAGCACTAACGCAAATAGCCCAGGTGCCTCTTTTCTGTAAAGTGATGCTGATTTATCATAGTGTATGAAATAAAAAGTGTTTATCGCTGGCCAAGGAAGAATCCTATAATCTGCTGCTACAAACTCGGTTAATAATTTCACAGGCTTAACCATCTTAAACTACTTGTAAACGATGCAATGCCAAGAATAATGGGAAAGACGACTCTTTTGCAATGTAGTGAATTGGGTAACCTTAGACCAGAACTGCTCTGTCTATAATTTATTCTCTCTTCGAAAGAAAATCAATTCTTGCACAAGACACTCTTTAGGGTTCCCTTCACTGCGAGTCGCATTTCTCGTAGACGCCAACAGTAAATCAATGGATTCAAAGACGAATTCATGAAAAGAAAAATAACTGACAAATTCCATGCAATAGGACCATGATACCTATACCACGATTCAAACTCGAGGCTACCTTTGAATCTGCTGATTAGAGCCTTTAATGTGATTAATGGTGTATAGCATAGAAGCAGACAGTAATGAATCAGAAAGGCGTTGACAGTCGTCTTTTTAAATCGTGCCATCTGTGACCTATTTCCCTCTTGTACTGCCTCCACTTGCATTTGGATTTGTCGTTGGTGACGACAAACGATGCGGTAAATTCGCAAATGTGTAATTTTACAAAAGGAAAAGCAAATGGCTATTCCACAAAGTGTAACAATCAGGTATGTATCATACCCTGTCCATAAAAAAAGGGTTGCCAGAAATCCGCTGATCAACCAGCTTAGAGAAATAGCGTAGATAACCCGTGGAATTGTTACGATACTAGGATATCTTAAATCATATCGAATTGCTAATAACCTATCTAAACTGATGGCTGTAACAGTCATTAGCGATGCACCATTTGTCACGTAAACGGTAATACCAAATATCATCCCCAAGTCGCATGTATCGCTCTCAGAGCTCGTTAGGAGGATTTTCATTTTAATAGCTAAAAATAGTGGTTGAGCGACAACAGCAACCGCAAGGTCAGCTGTAGCGAGTCCAGAGAGCAATACCATAGAAGGAGAGCGTAAAGCTGGCGTTTTCCAAATTACAGAGATAACCAAGGTATTTGCTATTCCTGATGCTATTGATAGTATAACGTTAATTATGCAAACACAAACGATTAGTTGTGGTGGACCGCTTTGAAGCTGAATTACAGCAAAATCCCGGCAATAATTGTCGTCTTGAACGAAGGATTTCCCCTCTTCTTGAAGGGATATAGAACGGTTCTTGCACATGTTCACCTTCGTGTTGGGTACTTTCTTTCAATTTCACGGTGAAGGGAAATGAGTCCACTACTCTGTTCGTGGAATTTCTTAGCACAGACAAGTCTACCACAGAGCAAAACAATGCAGAGGAAAAAGCTTTCTAATCCAAGATTTTCTGCACCAGATAAACAACATATGTTTTCGAGCGGTACACCCTCATCTCTTTGTTACTGCACCTGACTTCTCTGTGGACTTCACCTGACTTCTCCGCTGACTTCACCTGACTTCTGTGCTCGCCGCATTGGGCCATTACCTACAAGGAGCACGACCTATTGTCATTCGTTAACTGAAAACTTTAAAGTGTTTTCGGCAAAAAATAAATCTAATTTTATTTTCAATGAAGTTTGTTTTAATGTCCGAAGGTAAAGATAGTTTATTTTTTTAGAGATAATAAATTGTATTGTATGGATGGAAACAGCATAGTGTTTGACCTCCTTTACGTTTACAAATTTCCTTTTACATCTCACTTAAGAGTAGAAAATTAAAACTACAACTAGGAGGGTATTAATTTTAAATTTAAAATCAAAGAAAATTTTCGAACTAAAGTCAAAACTAAAGCAAAAGGTAAAATCTACATGGAAAATTAGGACTATATTTATTTGTCACGAAGAAAATTGAGAGTGTTTTACAGATATTTAATAAAAAGACCCCATCAAAGTTAAATCCGAAAAAAAAACAAAAAAAAAGCAAAGAAATCGAAACAGAAGGATGGATAACGCTTTTGTCATCAATACTCCCTGTTAAATAAATAACAAAATAAAGTTAAGATATCTTTTGATCCCCTGGTGTGATTAGTGAGATGTAAATACCTCGTTATCAACCCTCCCATATTTGCCACATGGTATTACATAGGAATGATATTCCAAAGAAAGAGCATCTCAGTTTGAGGATGATAAAGGCAAAAAGTGCTGCCATTTTGCCATTTAAAATAAATGTTTCAATTTCAAAAGAGAGATATGTCACATTTGCCATCTCAATTTTATTTATAGTATCTGTTCGTGCATGCAAATTTTGGTATGAAAGCAATTATTTCGCCAAACTTAGGGATATATTTTTTTAATCTTACCAATTACATGTTCAGAAAGTGAAATATGCCGCAATTATATTTACGATCTGATACGCCGTGTTTTTAGTAAAGTACTCGATCAGCCAGGCAGATCTTACTAATTTCAGAGATAACATCGTGAAGGGAACAAGATGATCATGGTAGATATTTTTTAAATTAATATTTAAAAGGATATTAGACGGTGGCAAGAAGATATGAATTCTGTGTTTGAGTGGCACTGACAATATCTCACAAATAAGCAAAGCGAAGGAGTGAGATATTGTTCTTGCCAGAGGGATTTTTTTGGACAATGCTATTATCCTGATACCATTATCCGTCAAAACAATGAAGAAGGTTCCATAACCATGCCTGTTTCTTTAATACATTGAATTGATTATGAGAAAAATAAATTATTTTACCTACGGGCATTGAGACAGAACTTAAAATGAAAAAAGATTCAGTTGTTGACAACAAGCTTGAGATTCTTTAATTAACGGCTGAAAATAGCCAATTCACGCGAAAAGTATCCAGGTGCGAAAATAAAGGATATCTGATGAGGGTGCACCAGAGTGTACTAATCATATCTTGTACATGTTCTCTTAGTTGAGGAAGTTTAAAAAAACGCGAAAAGTTGAGAAATTAGGCCAACTAGTAATAAAGAGAAGATACATTTCCATTAACCACACGAAGATCAACACGTGTAAAAACTGTTCAATGTACTTTCAAGATTGCTTGCCTCTGTTAAGCTCTGTTTCGGCATCAAAACTTTTCACCACAATTCATCGTATTTATTTCCGCAGACACCATATGCATTATGCTATTAATAGAATCAGCGATAGGAAATACCTTGATCATCTCAGCAGTATGGAGGACGGCTGCCGTTCGCTCTGCTTCGCTTAATGCTTTCATGTACACGAGATCTTTTTAATATGTATGTAGCTGATATGGATGAGGTAAAATCAGGGGATGTATTTTCCTCTAGTTAATTACAGAACTTTCGTCAGATAACTGAATGTTTTTGTTTCTCCGCGCGTATTAATTAAAGATTTTTTCCTTTGTCAGTCATCTCATTCTTATTTCCTGGCTAATTCTCTCTTTTTTTTAATTTAAACCTGACTGTGTTGTTTAACATTGCTCAGTTTTTCAGCAATGGAAAATTCAAAATAATTATGTGTCTATCATCTGCCAAAACTTCAAAGGAGGTCGAACATCATACCGAATAGTCATCACTAGATCTCCTTGGGCTGTAATTCGTTTTTTTGTCCAATATTATATTTCCTCAAAGAAAATCTTTGTAATTGAAAATAAATTCAGATTTAAGCGACAACCCTTTGATTCTTAAATAGTAAAAGACAATATTTCGTGTCTTTCGTCAATGGAGGCACATTTCCCTTGCAGAGCAGCCAGGTGCAAGAACAAAACACATATCATAGTAGTGCACTAGGTGAACCAGTAACAGGAAACATATGCTTTAAATCTCATGTATGTGTTCTTGGTTTAGAATTTTATTTTTTCTGCGATAGCTTTATTTTAGACAGAAAACTGCATCTGTCAGGGAAATTCGACCAACACAGCTCTGGTCTAGTTTTAAACTAAATTCCAATACGGAGATCAGCATGCACAATAACTGTTCCATAGCAGAACTCAAGAATACTTGCCTCGATCTCGCTGTATTTCAGCATCAAAACGTTTCACCACAATTCATAGTTTTCATTTGCGCAATTAACATTATACTATTAATAACATCAGCAATTGGAAATACTTCGGTCATCTTAGCAGTATGGAAGACTTCTTCGCTTCGCTCTCCTTGGATGGTTTTTCTCTCTGGACTCGCCATAACTGACTTCGCTGTTGCTGTCTTTGTTCAACCATCATTTGAAGCTTTCACTCTGATGCTGCTTTTTTCAAACTCTGACATAAATGAGTGTTATTTCGAAATTATATTTGGCACTCTTTGCTACACGGTGTGCGCTGCTTCTTTGATGACCGTTACAACCATCAGTGTAGATAGGTTCTTAGCAATTCAATATCACTTGAGGTACTCCAGCATCGTAACTGTTCCACGAGTCATCTATATTACTGGTATGATCTGGTTAATGGGTGGATTTTTGGCAACCCTCTTACTATGGGCAGGGAAAAGGGTTTTTCAAATAGTCATGACTTGTGGAATAGCATTTTGCCTCTCTATGTGTACAATTGTGCATTTCCAAATTTATCAAAACGTTCGTCGACATCAACGACAAATCCAAGCACAAGTGCAGGCAGTACAAGATGGGACTGGATTACAGATGGCGCGATTTAAAAAAACAGCTATCAACGCCTTTCTAGTTCATTACTTTCTACTTTTCTGCTATACTCCAGTGTTCATATCGATATTATTAGCCAGAAATTTTGAAAACAGACCTGGTTTTGATTCATGGAATGAGTTTTATAGTCCAATTGTGTGGAATACATCAGCAACTATAGTGTTTATGAATTCGGCTTTCAATCCATTAATCTATTGTTGGCGGCTTCGAGAAATGAGACTCTCTGTAAAAAGAACCTTAAGGAGGATGGTATGCAAGAATTGATTTCGCTCGAAAAAACGTTTTTAGACTGCTTTTCACTGATATGTATTGCATTATTTTCGTAATTTTCCTCAAGAATGTTTTTTCTTCCTACTCCTCGTTCCGAATTCTTGGCAGTTTTAGAGGTTAAATTTTCAGCGGCAGTTGAAAGGTGTTTATTATAAAGGTCATAGCTTTGTCAGCCATAACTAGTTTTCTGTTTTTCGACTAATAGGAAACGAACTTTACTTTGGAATAAAGAGTGGTTTTCTGTACATTCTGGATATTTGAGTTTGCACTCGTATTTCTTTGATTGAAAAAATGTTGTATAGTAAAGGGATTGCAGAGAGAGGGTAACTCAAGATGTGACGATTATGAAAGCCTCATCTAATTTGGTTTTCGATTTTATCACGATATGGGCGTCGTGTGCTCTCATTGCGCCGCGTTCTAGACGTTGCTGACGCCATTACAGCTGGTCCGAATAAATCAACAAGAAGTTTTTTTGGTCAGGCAACTCAAAATTATTGAATACTGGTAAAATTTGTGTCAGGTTAACAAAAATTAAGAAAAAAACATGCAAAGAAAAATTATGTCGGCTCCTTTAACTAGTCACCTCCACTAATTATTTAATCTACTCCTTTTTGGCCGTATTAGAAAATGATACACAGGTTATGAATTTAGAAAATGCAGTTCTTTGTACGCACGCCTGTAATGATTGAGTATTTTCCCCGCGCCTGTGTCTGACTGACCTATTACTTGCGATTGATCTTGACGGATTCTTTCGACCGACCACCTTTTCGTCCTTGGCACCTCCCGATAGTTTCTTTACACTTGACAACAAGTGCTGCTTAGAATATACTGTATTTGGAAACGTATTTATAGCATTTTCGATTTTGGATTACATCTGATTCGTCTCTAGAGAAAAAGGTCCTTGCAAGGGCAGAAAAAGTGAGAGAAAAAAGGTATTTTTCAGATAGGTAGGAGGAGGGATGTCGTCCCTTAAGGGCTGCGTCCGTTGAGCTGAAGCACAAAAAGCGCAATTGGGCTAATAGCATCAGGTGATCAAGTTTGCTCCCATCTGAAACTGGAGAATTTCTGGACGGTGATGAAAGGATACGTTAGTAAACATTTGAACCTACGTACTGCAAAAAGTATTTGAAAGATCAGTGATAAAAACACAGCAGCTGCTCTTTGAAGCAACAAGTCTTTTTTTTTAAAGTCTGTTCGTTAATCCTCTCAGCTTTTCTCATATATCGTGGCAGATTGTTCCCTTCCCGGGACAGATGATGTCCCCAATCAAATAACCGTGAATATTTTCTTTCCAAAGGGAGGCTAGATTTCGTATTGTCATCGTAGCTCCGGTGAAATAACATTTTTTCATTTCTTTGGTGTGATAAAATAAAAGAAAAGCTTTAATTTCAATCAATTTTTGTTTACATTTTTGTCACTCTGGTGAACAGAAATACAAGACTGTAAAAAAAGACATAATAAGTATTCTTGGGTATTCTAATGAATAATAGACGATCTCACCCTAGCTGTGTACCAGAAAGATGCGTAGATGAGCTGCCCTTTGAATGCTCTTCCCTCAAAAGATAATTGTTGACTTTGAGCAAGGGGTGAACCTTTCCCTAAACAAAATTTCTGTAAAACTAATAATCAACGAGGAGGCGCGGTGGCCTCATGGTTAGTGCGCTCGACTCCGGATCGGGTAGTCTGGCCGGGGTTATTGTGTTGTGTTCTTAGTAAAGGCTTTACTAACAATCAACTAACTCAATCAAGCGAGCCGGCAAGTAGCAACAGAAGAACCAAATAAGTAAAGTAAACAAGTAAACATGCCGTAATTGAAGTTATTAAAACGGAGAAGAGATGAAAATCCTCAATGAGAAAACGATATGTTGTTGTTATCGTTTGTAGCGCATTTTCCGAGTGCGCCATTCACAGCAATTGAAAACCAGCCGCTCACAACGGAGCATGTTTAAGGGGACGCGTAACCAGTCCCGTCGTCGCCTAAAACATAATATCAGTGTGCAATCAAATGGTCACCATCGCACGATGGCATCTATATCGCTAGAAAAAAGATAATAACCAATCTTTTGAACCGGAGTTGTCGACAGTTATAGTCAAATGCTTATGATCCTATAAGGCAAATGAGGCCAAAATTGTGAACAAGCATTTCCCTTTACTTCTTGATTTCAGTAAATGCTATAAAATCCACTTATATATAGTTGATCTTTCTGCAGACGTCTGTATTGTGTGGAGCGATTCTTGAAAGGGCACATAGATCTGTCGGATTATTTGAAGTCATCTGAGGCTGTGACTTTCCCAAAGGATCCTTAAAGAGCAACACAAAAGCTTTGCGAAACCTGTGAAAAGAAGTATACTTAATGTACATCATCCGTGCATTATGCATCGAATGCTGCACACGATGTAAGGGATAAATCATTTCTCAAACAATTCCCAGGTATGTCAATACTGCATACTGCATATGAGTTTTGGGGATGAAAAATGGGCACTTTTCAAAGAAATTATATTAGAGGACTGTCATCCATTTTTATCAATTCTGAATTGATGTTTCCATGAGCTGAGAGATTCTCCGCTAACTAACTACTTATTACCCATGGAGGGCTATCAAAGTCTCACGCCTTGATGTTATTATGAAACATTGTAATGTAGTGACTGGTACAATATTCCTACCTCTGAGTCTTAAGTGCATAGATAATAGGATTCGCCATGCCGTTCAAATGCCCGAGGAAATACGCGAGGAAATGAGACCATGTACCATGGATTTTGGAGATATTGTGTAACAACATCGGTAAAACACCCATCAGGAGAAACGCCATCACAGTTAAACATATCGTCTTCGCAGTTTTCACGTCGTTTTTAAAGCGCTTCCCAATCGAACAAAACGTAGAGATACGTTTGTTGTGTTGGTGCACAGAATACCAAATGTATGCACCCGCGCAGAGCATAATCATGAACGGAACGAGGTATCCGGGAATGATGAAAAGCCTTCCGAAATTTTTGAAATAGTGTTTCCTGTAAACCAAAACAGGGGCGTCTCCAAGATCAATATCCAAACCCAAAACAAACATTCCATACGTATAGGCAGCGGCAAGAATCCATACCATCAACACAGCTACCTTCGCCTTTTTAACTGACTTCCATGAGTAATACCAAATGCTGTGGACGATGGCTCCAAAGCGGTCCATTGTCATCGCAGTAAGATTGAACACTGTGAGGTACATGAGCAGCACGTACCAAGTCACAATGAACCAAGATGTTGTACGTCCATTTAGATAAGGCACTTTACAGATGTACCACATGATCATGAGAGGCATGTTGGTCACAGCGTTGAGGATGTCGACGACAGCTAAGTTCGCGATCAAAACATTCGTCACTGTTCGTAGAGTCTTAAACCTAATGAGTAAAACACATATCATACTGTTCCCTATCACGGATCCCACCATAACCAAGGCGATCATCACGATTTGTGAGACCTTGACTGCATCGATACAAGAAATCGTCTTTGCTTGGACTGACTCTTGCATTGCCGTGCCAACTCACGAGAAACCAATCCAGGTAGTGTAGTCCTTATCTAAAGCTTCATCAAAGACGAAAATAACATCTGGTCAGCCACGAGTCCTTTTCTTTAGATCCCATCGACTTGTTATGCATCTAAATTTCTTCAAAAATCACATAGAAAAGACCCTCAGAAAAAGTTTAAAGCCTTTTATGATTCCCTTTGATCTAACCTCAGACGTGCTGTCTACCAGCTCGGCTAGAATTGAGCTTTGTTAACTACGCACGCTACTCCTTGTTATCACGAACTACTAATTTAGCAACATTTCGTTAATTTTGTTATTCCCGTTTGTATTGCTCTTGAAGAATTGAAGTCTTATTTGGATTAAACCTGATGAACATTTTATAATAAGGCCTTAACTTCTATCGCAGCGTCTGCAACCTAGACCGAAATTTCCTCGCAGACGATTAACGTACAGAAAACAGCCTATTTAGGGCATTTGCCAAATTACTGAGAGTGTCTTTTACTGGCTAACAGATGCAGCTGCTGAGTATGCTGTTCGTGATTCAAATCGAAATTTGAAGGGAATGGTCTATTAGGAGTTAAAATGAATGGTTTTCTACTGCTTCTGCTTGAATTTCCCTGAAATAAAATGGAAGAATTGTTTAAAATGGATTTGCATTAAATCAAACTGTACCTGCAGTTAAACAATGTGAACTAGTGAATCATCATCTTATCTCATTTGTAACTTATGTGAGCTTCACGAAAAGGAACAATATTTCACCAACAAACCCGACACCATCATCGGTAGCTGCGGAACGCAAAACCAAGTTGGCGAAGGAAAGATTGATATCCCTATACGGCAAAATTGTGCATAGAGCAATCCTGTGAATATTTGCGTGCAAAATTGAAAGATTAAGGCGGAAGCAGCTCTTTGCGGAACAAGGCATTGAAGCAAATACAAAGAGCCTAATTTTAACACTAAGCATTAGAACGTGATGCTCTTTGAACCTAATTAATATTGGGCACTTTTTAGTCACTAATGGAAAAATAAGTTCACTTTCAAATATAAGGAAGAAAAAGTCATTTTCACAGTTTGGCGATCTTGAAATTAGAAGAAATGACGTTTATAAGGGTAATACTCCTTAACTTCGCAGTGTTCAATGGAGTATTTTGTTCTTCAGCGTCCATCATTTATTTTATTAGCAAAAAAATTTAAATTTGCATATTGTAACTCAATTAATGGCATCTCAAGGAAGCTTTATTTATTCTAAATATTATTCACTAGATTTTCCTTATTTATTTCATACTCCATAAAATTTCGTTAGCTTGCAGATAACCGGGGCTCAATTACCCAATATCGCTCTGTTTTGTTATTTTTAACGCAAAACAACAAAAAAAGACGAAACAAGCATTGCACCTGCTCCCTTAAAATTTAAAAATTGGATAAATTTCGGTCAGCAATTTCCAGTTTGCATTATCTCGCACATTGATCAGAATGAGT